GCTGGCTTCTTCTTGCCAATGATGGAACTTTTCAGTTCTGTGTGAGAAAGAGGGTGGGCATGAGCAGGAGAAAGGAAGGTCAGAGGCAGCAGCTCAGTCCACACCATGCTTCATGGCAAGAGCATCTAAAAACAGCTTCAGGCAGGGGAAGGCCAGGCTACCACCACCAATTCCAACTGATGGCATCCAAGCGAAAGAAAGACAAGGTTAGGGGAGCCTTTTGACTCCTAGCAAGTTGCAGCAGGAGCCTAGACCTGAAGCACCAGAGACAAAAGTCCCTGAGCCACAAGTGAAGACCGTTAGGCAGGGGTTAGATGCCAAACACTAGCCTCAGCTCCTAGAGCAGAGAGCTGGTGTGCAGAAGGTAGGCTCCCCAAGCAGCTGCAGGTTACCTCTGGCTGGAGGGGCCCCTTTAGCTGACAGATACATGGACTCTGGAGGAGAAACAGACTTGTGGCTAACAAGAGGCCTGCCCCAGAGCCTCCATATGCCTTCCAAGCCCAGAGGCCTGTACAGAGCCTGCTTTAGACCCAGTCAAGCCAACATTTCCAGGCATCAGCTGTTTAGTTACTCTGCTGGGTTCCTGCCTCAACCCCCAAGAGTCAACAGAACCAAGGTCAGCAAAGGAGATGTTTATTCTAACCAAGTTCGAAGGCCACAAAAAAAAGAAAAGAGCTGAAGGACCAAACCAGGGTCAAAAAGACAATGTAGCCTCTAGCCATCAGCAGCTCAGAGCTGTCTCCCAACCCTCAATAGGACCAGACAAGGCAGCCCTACCTGACTCCAGGGATAGGTGTCCAGTCTCTCAATGGCCTCCCCACACTTTGGCTAGATCCAGTCCCACACTCAGAGGCAGCCCACCCTGGTCTGTCAATTCAAAGGGCCCAGCTCTGAAGTCACTGTTGCAGCCACTACTTCAATTAGAGCCCAAACCCAGACAGGTCGGGTGTTCGGTCTCCTATGGCCTCACTTCACATGACTAGGCAGCAGGTATCTGTAAAGAACACTTGATGCCCACCCTCTCCCAGCCACCCACACCTGCCAGCTGGCATACTGACCCAGAGAGGCTTTGGGTGAGGTGCCAAGCAGGTCGGTGTTCGGGCCTTGCTCTGGCTCTGTGGATACAATGATAGGCATTAGGTATAAGGCTCTTGGCATCTTATAACCTCCCTTCAAAGAAAGTGATACATCAAGAGTGCCTGGCTTTCCTCAGCTTGCCATCAAAATAAAAATTCCCACCACTTCCTCCAAGTTACAGATGAATTCCATCCCACCCAAGGCTAAAGGAAGACCTCTCTCTCTCTCTCTCTCTCTCACACACACACACACACACACACACATACATACACACACACTCATTTCTATTTCCTTGGCCATGTATCCCCTTCATAGCTCCAAATCCTTTCCCAGGACCAGGGTACTTGGTTAGAATCTGGGTTGAACTCACGTGCCAGGCCACTGCTATCTGCAGACGGGACAGGCTGCTGGGTGTCTGAAGGCTCAGTGTCTGGTGCATCCCAGGTAGGGGGCTGAAAAGGAGGCCAGATCACAGAAGCCTTAGTGAGCCACTTATTGCTGGCAAGGAGTGCCAAGAACCTGCAAGTACCTTGAGGGTATAAGGCCCTATTCCTAGCCCATAAGGAATGGAGACTGGAGGTCAGCAAGTAAATTTCAGTTGCTATTCACCAGAAAGACGCTGGAAACCAGCAGGCCCCTCCCTCCCTCCCTCCACTGTTTACTTAAAGCCTGAGCACATTCCCCTAACAGAAAACCCAACTACTAGACACTTTCCATGTACCAGGCACAAGGCTAAGGGCTCCTCATAGACAAACCACTTAATTATCACAATCAGCCCTTTGAGGTAGCTACATTCCATTTTAGAAACTGAGGTTTGGGCAGGTTAAGTGACTTGGCCACATCACAGAAATGCCAAGTGGAGAGGCAGGGGTGAAAACTAATGAATCCAATTTCAACACCCAGTGCCAACAAAAGGGAAGCCTTTCTCACAAGGTAGACCTTAGGGGAGGGGATCTTTTCAAGAAAAGTCTCCAAGCACAACGCCTCTCTTATAGGGGTAGAAACTAAGAAAAGTTATTTGGGGCCTGAGACTTCTTAAGCCTGGAAGAAGCTTCTCTTACACTCTACCTCCCCAGTTCCTAGGGGTTCATTTCTAAGGAGGATTCTATCACCCTTCTACTTACCTAAAGAATAAAACACCTTGGCCTAACCAGTGGCTAGCAGTTACCAACTCAGTGGAGAACAGACATTCTCTGAGGTATCATACCAAGGCAATCTATGCCATGATCATAGAAGGCCCTTGGCCTTGGTAAATAAACCACCTATCAAGGACAATTGGGGAAATATTCCCTGGGGGTACTCACTTGAGTGTGTTCTGTGAAGAAATCAGAGTCCTTCTTCTCTGGAGAATGACTAGGAGCACTTCCCATGTTGTCTATCCAAAGCTAAAAGGGAGATGGTATAAAACACAGGGCTCTGAGCACCCTTTCCCCCACTGCCCCAGCCCAGGGACAGGCACTTACATCAGTGCCATGCCTAGCCAGGGCTGCACTCCCCAGCTGCCGGATCTTCTCTCGGTACATCTGGGCTGCTCGGCTATTATATTTGGTGTTGGCATCACTGGCTGTGCATCCATGCTGGCGGAAAAAGGCTGTCTAGAGAGCAAAGAAAAGAATGGAGTGTGCTGCAAGTGATTCTCACCAGAGCAAAAATATTATTGGCAATAGAAGACATCCCCTTTTAACATCCTTGTTATTATTTATACAGACTGATGCAATATTGACACCAGTAGTTTTTCACAGAGGTAAAGTTCCTCTGAAATTCCTGCAAAAAATACTTTGCCACATCCCATTCTCAGAGATGACTGAATGAAGCCCAGCCCTCACTTAACTCCTCCTGAGGACAGCATGCCATACCCACTCTATCCACCTTCCATCCAGGCAGGCCCACAAGAACTCAATGACTGGGGACAGTCAAACTTTCTTGGCCTTTTCTCAAGAACATCTGTCCAGTTTAGTCTGAATTTGAAGCCCCTTTGAGAGATACTATGCTGGTGTTGTAGACCAAGGGACCCTCTGAACAGAGAATAGGGCCCCCTAGGAAATAATTGCAAAATTAGTACCCAGGCAAAATTATGGGAGATTGGAGGGAAATTAAAGGAAATTTACCGCATTGGCATTCCCACCGACTTGCATACACCTCAGCTGGAACCAGTTCCAGTTGGAATCCAACTCTGTGGACCTATGTACAAGAGCTGTGTGTCACTTACCAACAAATAACAGGAGACCTGCTTCCCTGGCAGGCCCACACATGTTATTTGACGTCTGGCTGCTGCAGGCACACAGGAAACATTAATTAGTCACTGCCCCAATTCCTCCACTCTGCCCTGTGATTTGCCCTTCATTCACCTGTTTCAAAGTGTGCTAATTATTTCCTCAGATAAGAAAGGAAGTCCCACTTTTAGGCACACAAGCTTGGATTTGACTTTACCCTGAAAAATGGTCAGTCTCACTTAGGACATATTCAGCCAAGCTATCTGCAATAACAAGGTCAATGCTGGCTAGTTCTTTCCCCAAAATAACGCTGAAGAGTCTCAAATTGGTAGACCGTGAAGAAGGAAGTTTTGATCCAAACGCGGAAAGGACCGTTTATGTGGCAAGGGGTTCAAACAGATGGTACTCAGGCCCAAAAAGGCTACTGGACCCCTGCCCGGCCCAGAGGTTTCAAACACCGAATTCAGGATGGTCAAAGTCGAGGCAGCCACTCTCTCTTGCTGGCCACACAGCCCTGGTGGAAGCACAGTAACGGCGCGGAGAACCCACCTGATAAAGCTGAGATGGACGCCCAGAGAGCGGTGCACCCCGGAGCAGTCAATGCACAAGAAAACACCATACGTGATACTGGCCCAGCTCGGACTCTTGGCGCCGCAATCGAAACAGGCCTGAGAGGATGAAGCAAATAAGCGAACAGTCAGGGCCCGAGTTGAGGCCGGGCTCTGACATCCCAACAAAACCGCCCACCTCGGCCCCTCTCCCTCTCTCAGGCCTCGGGGGAAGGGATATCGCTTCTCGGCAGGTGCCAGACCCCGCGCCCCTCCCGTTCATGCACCTTGTTAGTTGGAATTGCTCGAAGTCTCTTAAAAAGGGTCTGAATTTCAGTCTTGTTCGGCTCCGCCGCCATTTTCTCTCCTTCCCAGACACAACCGCGACCAGCCGGTTCTGTCGCGGGCCAATCGACGGCTGGGAAGGCGGGCTAAGCCGGCCGGCCTCCGCGGCACTCAGACCAGCTGAGGGGTGGGGTGATCTGGGACGGATCTGAGCCAATGAACAGCCGGATGAACAGGAGCGAGACGTCACAGCAGCGATCACCAGCAGCCGCGAAGTAAACGCCCAGCTGCGTCAGGCCAATCCGCAGCCGGGGCGGGCGACGGCTCGCGGGCAGGCCCAAACTTCCTCGAGAACGCCGCCAGGGGGCGGAGCTGCCTGCCGCCGGCTGCCTGCTGGAGGCGAGCGGGGGAACTGGGGGCCCTAGCTCTGGCCTGTTACCGATCCAAGAGTAATGATTAACAACCCTCCCAAGTTCTTTGTCCCACCAGCTCGAGCACACCGGCCGAGGTTCCGCTCAACTCACAACCCAGCACCCAACTTCGAGCCTTGGCCAGCTAACACCAAGCTTGATCACCAATCCCTTCCAGCCCAGGTTAGAGTTCTTAAGTTCCAGGGAGGTACCAGGTGGCAAATCTTTGCCCAGCCCTAGCGCCCCCTGCCTCATAACACCCGATGTGCCCACAGATCTCCAGGGAGGTACCAGGTGGCAAACCTTTGCCCAGCCCTAGCGCCCCCTGCCCCATAACACACGATGTGCCCACAGATCTCCCCCAGGGCCTCCCTCCAGGTGCAAGGGTAGAGTATCAAAAAATGAACACAATGCCTGATGGTACTTTTTTCTTTTCTTTCTTTCTTTTTTTTTCTTTTTTCTTTTTGATCAAGTTTAATACACACTAGAGTAAGTCACAAAAGAGGGTACTGCAAGCCCAGAACTATGCTCACCCCCAGCCAACCCCCAAGAGCCCCCAAACAGTCCAGGAGCTGGATCCTCTGCTCTTGGAGAGAACCAAAGTGCTCCCAGGGAGGCCCAGGCATCCTTAAACCCTTCTTTTACCTCTGACCTCCCATCCTGCTCTTGGCCTACACTCAGTTGGCCCTTCCCTACCAGTCCCATCCTAGACACAGGCCCCTCCCTTCCCTGGGTCCCAGGACTTCTTCCCTCCTCCAGCAGAGGGACAGCAGCAGCAAGATGGTTCAGGGCCCTCAGGTCCGGTTGTCCAAGAGCAGCTGGGCTCTGACCCAGGGTGAAGAGACATCGCAGAAGGACTGTCAGGGTACTCAAGCACCCACACACTCCACATAATTGGCAGGGTACAGGCCAATGCGGCCACTCTGCAACTGGCCTTGGCACCAGCCCTGCTCATCCTCCTCGCTCATCTTCAGCAGTTCTTCCCCTGGAGGAAGGGGGATTGGTCACTGCTAACTGTTCTGGCCCCCAGCCATTCCCACAACTGGGTCAAGTACTGAGGGGAATGGGGTAATCTAAGAGCCTGACAGCAAGCTACAGGAGACCTGGCTCAGGCTGGGGGAGGCCATGGAAACCAGAAAGCTGCCCCACCCCAGATCCAGAGGCAACAATCAGGCCCCAGCTAGCTGGACCCAGAACAGCCTGAATGGCCAAAGAACTGGCTCTTGGGAATGAAGTATCTGGCTTCCCTTTTCCACACCCCTGCTCAGGCAAGTAAGGCAGGGACTGAAGCCTGAAAGAAACAGGAAAGGGGCCCCTAAGTACCTGCTCGGAAGCTCAGCTCATCAGCTTCCTGGCCAGCGTAGTCATAGAGTGCCCGCACCCGCACCCCAATGGCAGCCTTCCGGGGAGTCTCCTCATCTGACCATTCCTCATCCTGTCCACTGCTGGAAAGGGGAGGCAGAAAGGAGCAACAGCTCAGGTCCCAGAATACCTTGGGCTATAGATCTCACCCAGGACTCAGGGCAAAGGGCTCATCCCTCGGAGGGATGCTGCAGAGGCAGGCAGGGAGGAGCTCAAAGACTCTAGTCACACCTCCACCATTCACAACTGTGAGCTCAGGTGCAATTCCTGTACACACAGCTGAGGTGCAGCAGAAGTGAGAGGGAACATGGAAACTGATTGGAAAATCTAAACCTCTGCAAAACCTAGCATCATTCCCTCTCCCGAGTTGGCCCTTAGGTCCCTGGCACCAATTTTCAACCCACTTCAGGCGTGAAGGGAGGAAGCAAAGGAAAGAAAGGCCAGATGGAGCAGAGCTGTTTCTTTGCCTTAGCCAGGCTCCCAGTTCTCACCCTGGGGACCCAGGGGACTGGGGTGGGGGTGCAGTGCCATCTCTTGTAGGTACGATACTGGTCAGAGTAACCTCATCGGGGCTCCGGCCACCCTTCTCCTTCCGGCTGATTGTCCTCTGTGTGTCCAAGGACCACTCCTGTGGGAACAGTGCTTAGGTCAGGCTGGGCTGCAGCTGTAGTGGCAGCAGGGCCATCCAGACCACCTTCAATGACCATACTTCATTCCAAGGCTGGCCTCTCTCCTCCAGACCACACTAAACTCAGCCCACCTCTAAGCCCCACCCAGCCTGCAACACGTGCCTCAAACTGTGGCCAGTTCATGGCCATGCCCGGCCCGTGGGTGCTGCGCCACCAGCGCAGATCCTCCTCATCACTGGCTGCCTCGATGCCTTGATGCAGGTCTCGGTGAAGTTCATGGAACCTATGGCCCAAGACACTCCATCAGATGGGGAAGTCCTAGGCCCCTATACTCCCAATGTCATTCAGCCCAGCCAAAGCAAGGAGGCAGAGGCAGAGGGGACCCAAAGCCCACCACACAGGCCATACTTGTCACTGCTAGAGAGGTCAAGGTGCTGGTGCAAGGTGAGTAGCATATCCTTAAAGAAGAGAAGTCGCTGGCGCTCAGCAGCCTGGCAGCTCTCAAAGGCCTGCTCCATGTCCTCCATGTAGCGCGGTGTGTAGCGATGCAGCTCAGCCAGCGTCTGCTCATACTGCATTTTTGTCTGGGTGAAAGAGAAGGGAGGTGCCAGTGAGGATGGGACCACTCTCCACTCAGAACTCCACCAGCATTTACCAGGCACAGCCACCATGGACAATCGGGCCTGAGACCCAGTTCCTGTCCACAAGGACCCCAGCATCCTAACAAGGGAGGTGACATCCAGGCACAGTATCTGTAAGAGTCGGGTGGAGAATGAGATGGGGTCAACTACAGGAAAGGGTGTGAGAAATCAGAAAAGTTTCCTGGAGGAGGTAGAAACTGAATAGCACCTCAAAAGATGGGGAGGATCTAGATACGTAGCACTGGAGGGAAGGGCACTCCAGGCAGAGGGGGCAATCTGAGAGCCAGTCCCAGGTGGCACTCTATAGGAAAGGAGCTAGAAGTTCTTAATGGCTAAAGACACCCCAGTTGCCTGAAATCCCCCATTTCTCCCCCTAGGCAAAGTATCACCTTCTCTCAGGTCCTTCCTTTAAAAGATCACCTGGAGAGAGGGGAGGCAAACGAGGACTAGAGCAATAAGATGCTGGAGACCAGAAAAAGCATTCAGGGAGCAAGTTTCATTGAGAAAGCCTTGCCCCACGCCTGTACCTTCTCTGCCTCCTTGGTGCAGCGTCCCACCCGCTCTTGCAGTTTACGCAGCTGCTCCTGGGACGTGGCGCTGTCTGCCTTTGCATGGCTCTCCCGGGTCTGGGCTGTCTTCTCATCCTTCCGGGCTGCATGATAGCTCTTCTTGGAAGCCTCAACCTGACATGTGTGGGAAAAACACTTGACCCTAGACACCATGGACTGTCCCCCTTGAGTCCTATGCAGACCCTGAAGGGGCCTGTCCAATCCCCACTGAACCCAGCCTCACCTCCTTCAACCTCTTTAGCCAGGGCTTCTGGGCCTTGCGGAAGCCATCCTCTGCAGCCCGGCTCTCGCGGAAGCCACCCAGCACTGGCCGGTGGAAGGCCCCCCGCTGCCAGGTGCGAACTCGCTCACTGTCTGGCCCATGCAGCTTCTCGCGCACCTCCAGGTGCAGCTCGCTCAGCCGCTCAGCTGCGGTGAAGAAGGCATGCCAGGCCTTCTCCAACGTGCCATACTGGGGGCCTGCAGATGGATGGAGCTTAGGCCAGGCTGGGGGTGCCACCCCAAGCAGCACAACCCCTCTCACTGGTGCTACTCTGGGTGCCAGGCACAAAGGCAGGGGAGCGGGGTGCAAAGATGAATGCAGTGATGTCAGCTGCTGCTTACAAAATGCCTATTTTGTGCCCTGAGAGGGCAAATCTTACTCAATCCTTGTCTCTACCACTAGTGTGATACAGTGTCATTATCAACATGGAGGCCCAGGGAAACGGAGGCCCAGAGAAGTCAATTTAACTTGCCCAAAGCACTGGAGTGAAGCCGAAGGCAAGTCCCACAGCTTCTCTGAACTTCCAGTTTCTCCTCTAGAAAATGCACAGAGGACTGGTAGTATAACCCAATGGTAGAGCACCTGCCTAGCATGCCCAACGCCCTAGGTTCCATTCCCAGCACTAAAACAAAAAGAAGAAAGAAAAATGCATAAAACGGACCATCTCTATCCTAGATTTGTTAGAAATATCAGAGTAACTCACGGACATACTTTGCAAACTCCAATGGCACAACTATGTAGATAACCAGGAATTTAAAGGGAGGGCAGAAGTAGAAGCCCTGAACTTTCCACAAGTGTAAAAAGAAGCCGCCCTGAGGGTCCCACTCTCACAGTTCTCTCTGCTCCCTGCTGGGCCTGCGGATGGCTCACCTTTCTCCACGGCGCCTCTCCACTTACGAGCCCAGTCAGCCAGCTGCTGGGCATAGGCCTTCTCAATGCGAGCACGCTCCTGGAAGCAGCTGACCAGGTCTCCACACAGCCGGTGCCCATCCTCCACCCGCTGCACTGTCCGTCTATAGTTGCCAGCCTGGGGACACATATGAGAAGGGCAGTTTCACAAGAAGAAGCCCCCTCTCAGGTTGAGGTTGACAGCTAGGTTCCTCTTCTGGACAAGTGCTGAGCCCAGAGAACAGGGGGCATTTCAGTGCCACCCAAAACCCAGGCCCCAGCTGCTCACCTCCCAGAAACTGCCCCCGAAGGCCTCCCCTCCAGCGTCCTCTTCTGGAGCCATGGTGTCCCCGCAGCACGGAATGGTGGCAGATTTGGGGCTGTGGAGGGCAGATGGGCAGATAGGAAAGCTCGACCTATACTTTGGGAGCTAGGAAAAGACCTTCTGCTATCTCTGGGTCTTATCCCACTCTCATCCCCACCACCCAAGAACCATCAGAGCTAGGACTGAGCAAGCAGGGGGCTGGAAGTCCCCAAGCGGAGCCTTTAAAGGGTCAAAGATGGCAATTTCAAAGCTCTTCCACTTGCCCTAGGACTTCCCTTCTCTCATGTACCTGGAACCTAGAGATCACTTTAGGGACCTAGATGTCCAGCTCCAAGCTGCCACTGTGATCTGCCTTGAAGTGAATAAGAGCAAAGCAGGGGGTAAGGGTGGGGGCTTAGCGTGTCTAGGGCGGTGCCCGCTCCCCGATATAGCAACTGCTGTCAGAAGCCAGATTCCAGGCAGGAGAATGCCAAGCGGGTCACACGATCCAGCCAGGGATTAGGTGGCAGGCGGGGGTGTGTGGTGGGCAGAAGGCCCCACTCCCCGCATTCTGGATGAGAGAAGAGGACTCCTACCCAAGCCAGGGCTCCTCTTGCCTCCCCTTGAACAAGGCAACCCGGTTAGCAGACCAGGCCAAGTCAGAGGGTGGCCAGCCACAGTCCCATAGCTGCCTGGGCTGGCAAGAGCAGAAAGGGAGCCAAGAGGCCTAATCCCATCTTGGCCAGGAAGCGCAGACAAGTGCATTTTATTGTCCTACAAGAACGTCAGCTTCTCTAAGGTGGAAACCCCCTTCCCCAATAAGCTTCCATGCCAGGGTAGTGCAAGACTAAAACACGGCAATGAATGAAAAATGCCAGGGTCCCAGCAGTCATAAGGAGATACTCCTTCCCCTCCCCAACATCCACAGAGGTCCCTCAGTGCCCCATGGGTAACAAACAACACAGTCCTGCCCTCAAAAAGCCCAGAGTCTGATGCAACATGAGGAAGCCAGACAGGCCACTAGCCAGTTAGAAAAGTGTTCTCCAGGATGGCAAAGAGGGCAAGGCGAATTCTGATCCCGCAGCCACCACCTGGGGGACCAGAGGACACAGCGGTATGTGACCACTCCCGCACCCGCCTCTGGACAGGATCTCAGCTGTCCCCAGCACTGACTCACAGCCCCTAGAAGGAAACAGCTTCCTCTGAGCAAGCCCATGACCCAAGGGACAGTTAGGCTTGGGGGACAGAGTGTGTGCCTGCTGGTCCAAATCGGGGCTCTGTCAAATACTTCCTTCAAACTTCTGAACCTCTGCTCATCCTTCAAACTCAAATGGGGGCATCTTATCCATAGCTACTCCCCTCTGTCCCTCTATCCTCTGGACTCCCACAACCCCTGTAAGACCTCAATCAGGACATATATCCCATGGAATGTGACTGACAGGACATCTGTCCCCTGTCATTGACAGACTTCAGCAGTTCTGAATTTGTGTTTTCCCAGGCACTGGAATCAGAAATAATTAGCTAAAAAAATAAAGGACTAACTCAGTGGTGGAACGTGTGCTTAGCATGTGCAAGACCCGGGGTTCAATCCCCAGTACCAAAAAGAAAAGAAAAAATGAATGATGTCCACCTGAAGACCAGGAAACCCACTGGCCTCAGCAGCTGTGGGAAAGCCTGGCCTTGGAGGCTTCCTGCCTCCAATTGCAGGAGGTACAGCTCAGCCCTCTCTGGAGACCTCATAGGGCTACAGGCAATGGAGGTATCTGAGCAAAGAGCAGCAGCCTCACCAAGGCTCTTCTTCACCTTGCTTCCTCTTAAGTGGGCCCCACTTATCCAGAAAGGACTTGCCAGCCAGAGACAGAGAGAAAGAGATCTGCAGCCATAAATCACAGGGCCTTTGGAGCTAAACCAATGAGCCATCAGGCCTGGGGCGGCCCCTGCCTGCTTCAGCCTCCCTGCTCCCTGCTCCCCAGAGAGCTGCCCCCCACTAGTTCCCTCTCTGGCCTCAGAACAGAGCAGGCTGTGTGTACAGGGTTGGCACAGCTCCCCAGGGCCTCGCAGAGCAAACACAAGCTCAAGCCCCAGGCACAGCCAGGCCCCACAGCCAGGCTTCATCTAGCTCCTGGGGTGGGCCTTAGTCCCTGATGAGAAGGGTTGGCACAAGGTGAACTCAGCAGAAACCCAAATCAGGCCAAACACTCTGCTACAGGCAAGAGCTCAGAAAGCAAGTAAGGAAATCTTCCCAGGCCAAGGGAGCACACCTACTGGGCCCAGAGAAGTCTTCTGCAGCTTGGCAGGGTCTACTCACAGCTGCTGGGGCCAAGGTAGGGAGTCCTGGATTTCAGAGAAGAATCACTCTCCCCACCTGAGGCTGGAAGGTGGCCGGGCCCCACATCAGCCCTCACCCCTAACAGAAGCTGGGGGCATGCCCCTGGGAGGGAGCACAGCCACCCGGCCCTGCCCAGCGCTAGGTCCTGAGTCACAGGCTGCGCCCAAAAGCTTCTTCCCCAGCAGGCCCTCCCGGTCAGAGTCAGCCCACAGCCCTAGGATTTGAAGGCACAGGAGCGGGCAGTCGCTGGCCAGAACGGGGCAGAAAGGGGCGCTGAGGCCAGTGGGGCTGGCACCAGCAGCCTGAGCGCTCCGAGGCTGGGGGAGGGGCTGGCGCCGCGAAAGGGGGAGGAGGCCGGCCAGGGAGGGGCATAACAAAGGGGCTCTTTTGGAAACCCGACCTGCCGGCTGAGGTGTCTGCGCCTTGATGACGCACTCCAAACCCGAGACTCCACATCAAATCTTGGAGCCCAGGGCCTGCGCGTCTCTGGCTTCAACCCTTATGGGACAGAGCCCCTCGACAGACCCCACTCCACCCCTGCTTCGGCCCAGCGCTGCACAACTCTGAGCCCGTGAAGCCCACGCGGAGGTGGCAGGGCCAGGCCTAACCATGGAGGTTCTAGGACTTCTTGGTCAAACTTGTTGAACTTGGTTTCGGCGGGGGTGGGGCCAGCCCGTCACCGAGGAGGAGAGTGGGAGCCCCCAGCCAGGGCCCGCACCGCGATGGACTCCAGATGGTAGTCCTGCGCTGCCGCCCCAGGAATTGGGGCTCTTTGAAGAGGATCAGGGGTCGCCGGAGAGTGAGGCCCCTTTAGGGGCCCTAAGGCAAACGCAGGGAGGGCGATTTGGGACGCCTGGGGAAATGGTTTGACCCTCCAGCCCCGACGTTACCCAATCCCCTACAGGCCTGAGGAATCACGGAGTTGGCGGCGCCGCGAACGAGACGCCCCCTCGCCTCGGCGGCAGCCCTTCGCGGCTCCAAGAAGAGCCGGGAGGCTGGGGTCTCCCGGAGCGGGAGTCGGTCCCATTGCAAACTTCAGGAGCCTAAGGACCAGAGGGCGGGCTGGAGCCATCGCTCCCGCAGCCGCGTGTCCGCGCGTCCCCTCCAGGGCACTCACCGCGTCCTCCCTGGGCCCCTCGGCGGGTGGGGGTCCGGCCACGCTCCGGCCCGAGTCCTACCACTCCCCGCCCGGGCCGCCGCCTCCCGGAGCGCGCCCGGCCCTCCCCCGGGAAGCCCAGCCCCCGGCCCCGCCCTCTCCGCGCGCTGCAGCCCCAACCCCACCAGCCCGCGGCCTCGCCGCCGGAGCTCCAGGCACAGCCGAAACCCACGATTCTGGGGGCGTGGACCGTGGGGTCCGCCGTCGGGCGAGGAACACAGGACCGACTCCCCAGAGTGGCGCCGCCAGGCTTTCAGGGAGTCAGATTTCGGCTCTGCCCCTCCGCAGGGCTTGGAAGAATGACCGAGTACCGGGTCTGCACCGGCACCCTCTGGAGGGGAACCCGTGGACGGGGCAGAGAGCTACTCTTACATTCTTACATTTTTTGCTGAGCGCGGTTTTCCTAGAATTTGGGGGAGGCTCACGCCTACCCTCTAGCATTAGGATTCCCATTTTACAGATGGTAGAAACTAACGCTCAGAGACCGTCAGAGGTTTGCCCGAGATCCCCAATCCGGCAAAGCCCGATTTCAAAACCGTGGTATATCTAGGCCCAGCTCGGTGTGCTAATCTGGGGCGCATTCTGAGGCTTGGGACAAACACATGGTGGGGGTGGGACAAAAAGGCACGAGCTCCTCCCCATCCATGTTCTTAAAAAAAAAAAAAAAAAA